TTGTTCGTATAGCTTTGAAATTCTAAACTGAGGCGTGAACAGTTTTTGCTTTCATTCTCTTGTACAACTATTTTATTAGGGGGACCGAAAAGTAATATCGTTTCGGTGCTCTTGATATTTCTTATCAAGATTATATTTTTAATCGAGAATACATTCACCTTCGTTAGCAACAACCTTTCAATGCCTGATCCAAAAAAAAAAAAATGAATTGGTTTTTAAGACTAACGAATATTTAATGAGCCGAAGCGACATTACTTTTCGGTTCTCCTAAAACACTTTTTTAAATATATTACATATTATGTGTAATAATGCGATAACTCTAAAATAAAAATTTTCTTAAGCACAAATCTACCTTGAGAACTTAGTAGCAGACCTTATGAAATCCCATTCCTAGCATGCGAAAATGCCACTCCTATGACTTCAGCCAGCTTCGTTTAAGTGAATTCGTTTTGTTTTTCTCTTGTTAAGTGTCTTAAAAGGAATATGTATTTTCAAAAGTATAAATTTTTTAGCACTTTTTAGTTTTTAAAAATATGTGATTTGAGTTTCCGGAGAATCATCCAGTTATTCTTATATTACTTTTACAATTTGTTAAATTAATTTTATAAATTTGCTCAGCAAAAAAATTAATTTTTCGAATGTAAATATATTCAATAAATGTCATTTTGTAATATAGGGCTTTATGTTTAAAAGGAAAACAATAATAAATTCTAGGATAGTCATTCCATCCTTGAGTTTGTTGATGAAAATATCACTTTGTGTTTAACATTACATGGCGCTGTAAGAAAATAATTTTACAAATTTTCTCCGCAAAAAATTACTTTTTCAAAAATAGATTCAATGAATGTCAATTTGTAAAAAAGGGCTTTATATTTAAAAGTAGAACAATAATAAATTCTAGTATTGTCATTCGATTCTCGAATTCGTTTATTGAAATATGACTTAGCGTTTAATGACAAGGCGCTGGTTAAGAAATCACTTTTTCGAATCCCAGCGTTGGCTCGTACCCATCACAGTGCTGACGTAAAATATCCTCAGAGGTAGACGTATCATGGGATAGAGTCCCCTAGCCATTAGGCTAACCGTGGGAGGTTTCCTTTTCCATGTATTGCAAATGCGGGTTAGTTCCATCAAAAGTCCTCCACGAAAGTAAATTGCCCCTTATACTTGAACCAAAAGCTCCCTTGTCAACTGGATTGGGTTTTAAAAAAAACAAGGCTACGGAGTTGAACATTAGTGGTCGTAAACCCAAAATTTCATAGGCTGTTCAACGACAGTTATAAAATAACGTTACATGGCGCTGTTAAGAAATTAATTTTACAAATTCGCTGAGCAAAAAATTTATTTTTAAATAACTCGATTTAACAAATGTCATTTTATAAAACAGTGCTTTATATTTAAAAGTGAAACAATAAATTCTAACATTATCATTTAATTCTCGAGGTTTATAAAAATATGAACTCAGCGTTTAATGGTACAAGGTGCTGTTAAGAAATTAATTTTATAAATTCGCTGCGAAAAAATCATTTTTTTAGATATAAATAGATTCAACAAATGTTATTTTGTTAAATAGTGTTTTATATTTAAAAGTGGAATATTAATAGCCATTCAATTCTAGAGTTTATGAAAATATGGCTTAACGCTATAAGGAGCAGTTTAGAAATTAATTATACAAATTTACACTGCGAAACCTATAACAATAATACGTAAATAGATAATAATAATATATAGAGATTATAAGAATATTTTTTTTGTAAAATGGTGTTTGATATTTCAAAATGGAGCTATATTTCTTTCTCGTTGTGGAAAGTAATTTGCTAGTTTGTTTTAAAATATTACTTCAATCATAACGATTAAAAGGGGAGTTAAGTAAACAATTTTTCAAAATTTGAAGATTGAAACTTGTATTTTTAGGATATGAGGAATCAGATCTTAAAGTATTCTCTTTTCTGCCAATCAATAAGCTACATGAATAATAAGTTAAATCTTTAGTACCACAAAAAAAACATTATGTGAAACAATAAATTATCGATTTAGTGTTGCACCCTCTTTGTGAAATATGAACTAAAAATGTTCCCTCTTCCAAATATTCTAACGTTTTAGAGTATCAATTATTATTCTTTATAGACTATAACAGACTTTGTTACGTTGCATCTGGTAAGAACTGTCTTCGGTTTAAGATCACCATTGAAATATCATATAATAAAAATCTTGCTGTATAAGGTATTGATAGGAGCTTTCTTGATTTACGCCTCAAAGACGTAGATCTAGATTTAAAAAAAAAAAAAAGAGCAGGAAGAACTTTGAAAGGAAGGTTTTGAGAACCATCTTTCGTGATGTTCTGGATACTAATAATATTCAAAGAAAAAGATTTAATTTTAAAATTGATAGAATTGTTTAAAAGTAAGGATAATATCGAATTCATAAAACTAAATAGAATGAGATGAACAAGGACACCTAATAAGAATGAGAACAACATTGAGGGGTTTTCAATACCTCCAACTAAAGACCAAGAGCCACCAAAAAGAGATGGAAAGACTGTGTAGATGAGCACCTTGCCAGCCTGAAAGTGAAGAGCTGGAGATCAATGTCCGAGTGATTGGGAAAAGCTTCTAAGGAAGGCCCACAAAGGGTCGTTGTGCCAATGCAGTTGAATCGAATTTTTCAAAACTTGGAATTGTAAATTAGCCTACACCGTTTTTCATTCAGCTCTTACAAACATGGCGACTGGTTTCATGTGATTTCTAATGAATGGCGGTAATGATAGAGTTAAAAATGCCATTTTCAGTTAACCCCCTCCCAACAATTCCTACGAATATCATTCTGTAAAATAGTGCTTTATACTTAGGAAGCTGAGCATTTTTTTCCTGACATTGGGATTTAAAACTGGAGTTAATGAAATTATACGTGTTTTACATAACAAGTAGTGCATTTTAAATTTTAATTTTACACAATTTTTTTACATGGAATTTAACATATTTTCATGTATTTTGAAAAATGTCCATATAATACTTTGGATTATACGCTAATTATTATAAAACTAAGCATAAGACACTTTACACAATGTGACAGAATAGGTGTCTCGAATTTTTATATTGCTTTATACTCACCAGTTTTGCTTACATGAAAAAATTTCTCAAGTTCAATTTAAAAGATGAACTTCCTTGTGAACATGTCGCTTAAATTCATACTGTCGAAATGGATGCCGTACGAAAACATCAAAATCTTCATACGCAGAAGTTGAGATCCTGTGAAATTTTCAAGAGAGCAAAAAGGATCCAAAAATTTATTTTCCAAACTCCAAAAAGAATCGGAAGCACTGGTGGTTATCTAATTCATTATAGAGGTGGAGTCAGAGGAACAGAACAGAATACTAAAAGAAGGTTTACAAATGAAACCATGCAAAAGACAACAAATTCATTGCCTTGTCAACACATAAAAACAATCTTAAGTTAAAAAGAGCAAAATTTTAGAATGTCGTCATGTGGTGTGCGACGTTTTAATTTTGGATGAAAAACATTTTATTCTACAAAATCAGAACCAGTAAAAACGACCGTGTGTGCAGTGAGTCACGCCAACATTCCCAAAAATAAGTTGGTTGTAGAGAGATACAAATATGAATCGCAAGTGACGGTATGGAATGAGATTTCATCATATATTGCTTCGTTATTGACAGCATTTTATTGAGAAATTAGAGACTTATCACAAAAGAAGCTTAAAAAGATTAAGTTTTTTTTTCTTCTCGAAATGTAAAGAAACAAAAAAAATTATCAAAAGTATGTTTCTTTTGATTTAACATGAAGCAGTTGATTTATAATTTTAAAAAAATTTCAGTTTAAAATGCATTTTGCACATACAAATAAAAATAGGCTAAGTAAAACAAACGAGAATATTTAAAATCTAAACCAATAAGCAAAGAGATACTTTCCAAATAAAATACATTATGATATTAGTGATATAAATTGTATTTTTGTTACTGTAGTTTATTTTCTTTTTAAATAATGAAAATAAAAAAAGTCAAGTTAGTGTTGAACTAGACCTTTTCACAATTATTTTTTTAGCACTACATCAACATTACAATTATCTTCTATATTATTAAGAAATCAAATCTGTTGCGTGTATTAAAAGCTGGTATCTTTTAGCACATTATGATGAAGTAATTTCTGAATTGAGCTGTTTTTTACTTTTTTATGACCTTTAATAGGAAGCAAATCAACAATGGTTGCGCAACTTTTGGACAACACTTTGACTATTGTTTCTACTAAATATAGAAGTAAAAAAATAAAATAATCTTTTGATTTATAATAACAATTTGTAAACAACCATAAAGGAGATATATTAAGCTTCCAGTAAGTTCACAACTTTAATGACTTACACTTCTGATTTAGAAAATAATGGTTATGTTAATTTTATAAGTTCAGTTAATTTAATATAATTTGTTGCTCATAAAAATATCTCAGACATTCATCTTAATTTTCTGTTACAGGACAATTTTTTTCCTAAGTGTGTAAAAATAAATACACTGTTGCAATTTAGAGAAAATTTGCGATTTTGTATATTAGTAGATCTTTAGACAACTGCACAAAAAATTTTTCAACAACATAAAAAATTAAAAAAGAGTGGATTGTTACGAACTTAAAAAATATAAAAAGAAAGTATATCTTCAAAATTAATGGGTTTTTATTTTTAGTTCATAGATTTCTACAGAAAATAAAATATATAAATAACAAGTTTGAATTTTATATATACATCTAATAAATAAAGCATGTGTCATTAAAAAAAACCCAGTGAAAATTCGAATTTTTATAGTGGTCCAAAAATACAATGGTTTATTTAAGTCTTAAAACTATACAAAAATTTGAAGCAAGCTAAAAGCTGGTTTCACTAAAATGGTTTATAAAACTTCTGTAGGAGACAATAAAATAACAATAACTTAAGTTTCTTCTTTATGCTGACAAATGCAATTAAAAAAAAAAAAAAATTCAAACAATTGCACAATGTTAAATTTCCACCACTCTCTTTATATTCTCTATACATGAATGCACATACATGTGAATGTCAAACTTTGGTATTTACAGTGATGCTATATATACAAGAGGAGAAATGTAGATTACAATCTGACTATTTACAATACAGCTCTGGGTTATCTGTGACCATCTTTAGAAAAACGTCTTCTTTTCACTTGTACTAATAATTCTTGGGAATCTGAAAGAAATAAAATACATTTATACCAACCATCTCATTCAAAAAATGACTCTTAAAATACAGTAAAACCCTGATTACTCAACTCTCACAAAACAAATGGTGTGCCAGAAAATAAAAATCATCAAATGTTCAGCGATATTTTATTAAGTACAACGTCACATAGCATAAAAATTAAACAATGGGTAAAATGACTTGAATCAGATGGTCAGTACCACAAAGTGAATCAGTACACTAATCCCTTATTCAGTAGCAGATCTAAAAGGGGGGAGGTATTGGTAATTGCCTCCCTCGTCATGCAGCAGATATAAATAATGATTTTTGTGTGAAATTATTATTAAAATATAAGACTTAAGTGCTAATAAAAACTTATAATACTCATAATTGATAATTCTTAATTTTCTACTATTTATCAATATGATATAAATTATTCAAATTAAATACTTTTTTAATAATTAATATTTCAAAGTAATAAGTGTACTAATTAAGCATATCTTCATTAATAAAAATAATATTAACAAAAAAATGTGCTTCTTATATAAATGTCAAAAAACAATATTGGTCAATTAAAAAAAAAATAAATAAATAAAAAAAAAGATTTTTTGTCAATCTTTTTCATCCCAGTATCCCCAGGAATAAAAAGGAGTATAGATCTCTTGATCTACACTCATCACATATTGTCTGCCGCTGAGCGGGGAAAAAATATAATTAAAAATTTCAAAGATATATTTACTGTTTATATTAATATTATGGCATGAATTCACGTAAGGTTTGCCCTCATGATATATAAATCACATACATATTTATGTATATTACATATAATTACATTCATATTTATGTAATTTTTGAATCACAACATTGTATTTTATATTTATCAGAGTGGTCACTAACACTCTAATAAATCTAGAAAAAAATTCTGAAGACTGATTTTACTCAATTACTCTAATTTTGTAACAGGAGGCATTCATTTTATTAAATTTTTAACTATGCCTTATTCTTCATCCTAAAATATATTACAAAACACTTATGCGTGCAATCAGAATTGAAAATATATAATCTTTTTTTAAAAAAAGTTATAACAAGACCGAGTGATCAGAAAAAAAATAGGGTACCCCAAACATTAATTTCATAATTTTCCCAGAGTTTTTAGATATTTCAGTTAATTTCCCTCTCCCATCTCAGATTTTTCCAGATTGATAAAATTCCCTGTTTTCCATGATTACTTTGCTCTGTAGCCACCCAGGTTTATGTGATTTATGATACTAATCACACAGTAATCATGATATAATAAATATAAAAATTGTGCAATAACCAATATTTAAATCAACTTTAAAGATTAATAAGTGCTTATAAACAAGTTTTATTGAAGATTCATACCTTTTTATTTTCCAAAATTGTAAAGAATTATAAATGTAAGAGTAGTATTACATAACAGCCTCAGAATATTTTTCCATATACATAATTAAATAAAAATATGAAATTGAGAGCTGAAGTATGTTCAACGTAATAACTCATTTATTCTAACGTTAGAAACAGAAAACATAAACAAGATACATTTTCTAGAATCTAATTCTGTCAAGTACAATGATCGTTTCATTAAAAGTAAAACACTGGTAAGTTTTAACAGAATTTATGTTCAAGAATGATGAATTAGCCTAGAAAAAGTTATAGATATTTTAATCATTTAATATAAAAAAATTTTCTTCAATAAATTTTTTTTTCTTCAAGCAATATTTTTTTTAAACAATAATTCTCTTCTTCTTAAATTTAGACTATGTTTTTTATCTGAGAAGAGAAACTCAATCATAAATAAGAAAAATTTATTGTATGGACTTTTTTCTTCCAATACGGTTAATAGATTATTTCTCTTCTTTCATAGGGATTGGTTACACTTTGTTTCAATAGCCTTTTTTTTTCAAATAAAATAAATTTTCAAATCAAATTTTAAAAAATCCTCAACTTTGATAGTAATTTTTAAAATGTAAATGGAGTATATTAGTTCTGTTAGAAATCAAGGAGTTAATTCACAATATTTGTGACAATATTCACAAGTTATACCAATATTTGTACTAATTTTTCTTTTCTTTTCTAAAATGTCTAGTTTTTAAATTAAGTGGTTAAGTTTGTACAATGCTTAGTTTATATGAGCAATCAATGACACTATACTTAAAAAAATTTATAGGTGAAGGGTAGATATAACAAAAGGTGTGACCCTTTTATTTAATTTATCAAATACTCGTTGTTTGACCGCTAAATCACGGATTCTGCTATATTCCGCCACTCATTTAGATGCAAAGCAATTACATTCTGGTCAGTCAGATACAAATCTTCCTAAATATAGCAAAGAGAAGTAATGGCAAAGTAAATTTAAAATAAAAAAGGTAACTGTAGATCTTTGAAAATTCAACTCTTGAATGACAATTCAACCCTTCGATCAACTGTCCTTGGGCAAATTTTGTACAAGTTTCATTTAAGCAATATTAAAAGAATGAGAAAATAGCAATAGACTTGAATACAAAATTATGACCTTATTAAAGCTATTTTAAAATATGGGCCCATGTCTTAAAAATATAATTAATGAAGGACAATTTAAATACTTGGTTTTATACTTTCTGTCAGACCAAAACTAGTGAATGAAAATGTAATTTTTAATTAGGGATCTTGTCATTGAAACCTATTTAAGAAAAAAAAAACTGACTTTGTGAAATTACTATAGATTTTAAAAGTACAAGTTTCATAAGTATTATTTGAGCTTAAGCAATATATCTATATAATTATATATTTTATAATGTATTAATATAATCTTAATAGTATAAAATGTTTCTTCAGTTGGTAATTATTAATATTTAAAGTTAATTGCAAGAATGGTATAAGTGCATTGTGAGTTAAATAATGAGTGTTTTGAAATATTTCCAGATATATAGGTTTTGGACGTTTTAAAACACTTTAGCGTAATATATACCGTGTTTCCTTTTCCACAGTCAGCCCGGGATGTCGAAAACTCTAACTTCAGTAGTAACTAAGATTTCTTTAGAGAGTAATAGAAAACAACATTGATCTTATATTTATGATTGGAAATTTTATATAATAGATATTTTTATTCTTTCCAAGCACAAAATTACAGTCTTTCTCTAATTATAAGAAAGTGATGTTTTTTTTTCTTTATTAGGTAAGGTATTTTTATTTATTAAACATATTAAGGTACTTATTAAACATCTAAGATAACTACAATAAAATGATTTTTGAAAGTTACGTCAAATTAATGATTGGATTTCAACACCAATCATTAGTAGTATAAAATTTATCAGACATCTTATTCAAAATAAATTAAATGGGCGATAATAAAGTATTGTGCCTCGGAAACACAGAGATTTTTCAACTACTAATGTCCTATAATAAATACTGTTGAAACTTTTTACTTTGATTTAAATCAATAGTAGAATTTAAATAGCATATATAAAACATTACATAGATTTACTTCTAAATTCATTTTTCTTTCTGCCGTCAACATAGAAACATAGGTAAGTAAGCTGTGTAAATTTAATTTAAATTTTATTCCAATAGATTGAGAAAATAAACCTGAACTAAATTTAAAATTTTTTTTTTTCAAGAGGGTAAGAAAACTGGCTCTTTCTGAATCCTGAATATACTGCAGACAAATATTGTAAGACTGTGTTGTAACATTGAAAAGTTTGAAAGTACCACGATTTTAATTATTAGGATTGACAAGTAGAAGCAAATAGGGGCATCACCCCAAAACAGAAATAAAGTTTCTTTAAGTCTCCTAAATTTCCAAGAAAATGCCCGGCTCAACTTTTGCTACATGCAGAAATTTTCTATTAGAAGTATGTTGTTCTTTTTTATCAATGAAAAAACAAAATTTTCTTTTTGATTAACAGAACTTTACTAGGCAAAGATAAACACTTGTATATCTTTATATTGCGGTGGTAAATAAAATATAAATTAAATGAATATTTTGCAAATGAACTGGAAAAACATAAAATTCAACAATGTAATAGTTTATTTAATAGAATCACATTAGTCATTCATATAGCCCACACCTTACTCGGGATTAAAAAACAAATAGCAAATATGGTAATAATTTATCAAATTGGAAAAGAAGATGATGTTAATGAATGCTTCATACTGATAATAATAAATTTAAATATATTTAGCGGAATTTTTGCTAGAAATAATAGTCACAGATGTTAGATGTATTAAATTTGAATCTCATTAACTACTAATTGTCACAGTAAATCAAAATGAATCACTTTTCAGATTTGAAGCAAGTTTTTTTCCCCTGTGTTTTACTTAAATAATAAAATAATTCCTTTAATTTTTTGGTTTATTCTAGATTTTTCTGAGCCTGCAGAATGAACTAAAATTAACCCAATTTTGGGTGTGAAACACTACAAATATCTGTGAGCAAATTAAAGTAACATTATCATCTGTTGATGGTTACATTAATAATTACATAAGAATTAGGTACATCATTACATCAGGGTGTGTTGAAAATAGATGCAGTTTTTGGAGCAATAAATATGAATTAAAATTATATCACTAAAAGTAATTTTTTTAAAAATTGTATGACACGAATTATTGATGTAAAATATCCAAATAACTTTGCTGAGTATTATGTAGAAATATAAACAGCATTGTAAAATTTTTTAACATAAACTTTTTATTTGCTTATACTTCTGAAAAATTTATAAGCTGAATAAAATCTTTCACTAGAAATGAAGCTATTTTCACCATCAGTTAGATTCATAAGCAAAAAACCGCATGCAGCAAAAATATTTATTACGAAAAATTAAGCATATTCTAGGGAGTTGCAGAACAGATGTGAAGAAGTTAAAATAGGTTAAAGATTCATAAAAGTTTTAATGCATAGTCGTAATATACACTTTTTAGATTAAAGAAAATAATTGATACATAAAACAATTGAACATTTTTGAACCATTTGCATATTTATAAAAGAAAAGTAAATACTAATGATTCTTATAAAGTTTTGCAATATAAATTATGCAAAAGAATATCAGTGCAAATGATACTCACCAGCAGTACCACGAGTTTTTCTTTTAGCTGAGATAAAATTACTTTCTTCTTTGTTGTTATTTAACAAATTTGCTTTAGACTCCTGGTCTCTGATTCTACCACTTCTCTGTACACCAACTTTTGAACTTAGAACTTGATCCTGGACTGTAAAGCAAAAATTAGAAGATAAATAAAATAAAGTAAATAACTGACTCAATTGTGCATTTTTTCAGTGCTTACTTTTAATAAATATGTAATTCCTTTTTTTTTTAAATGGTTTTTTTATTTAAAAAAAAAATGTTTTCTAGTCACTTTTGCTCACTTATTTATTATTAGTTATAGTTATTGTTTTACAGGTCATATACAAAAAAGTAAGGGAATGGTATAATATCTTAAAAAAATATGCTTCAGATTAAAAATCAGAAATTAAATAAGGGAAATATATTTCCCTTTTGGAATTTTATAATAAACTCAACTTCCTAACCTCACTCCTTGCTTGCGTAGGGAGGCCATCTTAAAAATTAGTCCTTTTTATTACAGATTAGGATTGTCCAGAAAAAAGTACCCTAATTTGATCTACAGAATTTTGTATTTTGATTCAGGGATGGTGTGGCAATTTAAAAATGTTTATAGGTTGCAAATTGTTTAAAATAAAGATATCTCTAGAAATATATTTTAGATCTTAAGAATAAAAATATATAAGTTTGAAATAAAATTGGATGTATTTAAAAAATTAAATTAATCTTATCTCTTCATCACTCGAGGTTTGAGCAACCCCCAAGGTATGAGGTTGAGTTTACAGAGGGAAAACGCCATAACTACTATCCAAAACTCAGAAGCCCACCCTGCTGATTCTTCAAGCATAAGTTCTCTATAAAAACCATGTTATGATTGTGTAAAAGTGAAAAAGTGTACAATAACATAACAGAAACATAACTAGGTGTAATGAGAATGGATTATCAAAACTTTTACCGTATAGTTTCAAAAATAAAGGTTTTAACAAAGATTCATGTTAATCTAAAAAATAATAAAACAAAAAAAAAAGCAAAAAAATAAAATTTAAAAAAAGGCTAGTCCTTTGGGGAATGAATGCAAGAGGGATTTGCATGGGCTCAAAAAGTTAATGTTGTATTTTTTATAAGGAAGTTCCATGTAAAAATCGTTAAAACAAAACTAAAACATGCTCGCCTGTAAAAGAAAATACATGAATTTCGAGAGAAAATTACAAATATTAAGACTTTTGCATGTTAGAGTATTGTTGTATGTTGTATATTTTGTATTAGTATGACAGGCTGCATTTTTATAAGTTATGGACACAAATCATTAAAACAAAACTAAAACATGCTCCCCAGTAAAACAAAACACACAAATGTCAAGACAAAATTACAAATATTAAGATTTATGCATGCTATGAAAGGGTACAAAAAGATTATGCTGTATTTTTATGAGTTTAGGGAAAAATCAGTAAAATAAAAATAAAGCATGCAGAATAAATAGTAATAAAACTACACTAAAACAATTATTCACAAGAATAAAACAAATAAAAAAATATATATTAAACATCATGCCAACATTTTCTTAAAGTTTTTCCACAAAATATGAACACATAGAAGGAAAGTGTAATTACAATTTTACATTGGAAGACAATGCGGGAACTGAAATATTGCTCATAAGAACTTAAGAATTAATATTATAACATCTCATTTAGGTAAAAAAAAAAATCATTTGTAGTGATGTATATCATTCTTAAATTAAAAGCATTTAACTTATCTAATAAAGTAATAGTAGATATCGGAGTATCCTAATACAATTAGGAAGTAGGAAAATATTAAATATTAGAAAGTATTTATTTCTTATCGGAATAGGAGATCTGCCTGAATCTGATTAATTAAAACATACTATAAGACAATAAAACAAGAGAAGGAAACTGTGAGCACCGACACAATTAAAAAGCCAACAAATATAACATAAAAAATTAAAAATGCTTAAATGTTATTTTTTCAAAAATTAAAGATGATGAAAAAATAAAAAGATATTAATGAAATGAAAATCTATAAGTCTTAAACTACCTACATCTAAACATCAGGCATAACTATTAATTGAAATGTGCGCAATTTCAAGCATGTTGACATAAGAAATAAAAACATTAAGAGTTGAAAAATTAAAAATTTAACTTTCAGAAAATGTTTACAACATACAAACAAAATGACTATCCAGATTGTCCCAAAAGTATAAAAATGGTCAAACATTTCAAGACGTATACATGAGATCAGTTACCTAAAAATATGGATGTCAAACACTTTGAAAAGATGAAATGATACCAAACTTTACTAACCTCTCTCTAGTGGGTCATGGACAATTTAAAAAAAATGAAATAGAAAAATCCCTATTATTAATTTTCTTCTTGAGTGTAGTAAGTATTGTTTCTAAAAAAACCTTCATATGTAAAGAAAATATGAGAAAAAAAGCAAAATTAATTGTATATAAAATATTAAACGTAATTAGTTAAGTTGATACAGAATTATTCATAACTATCATATTGTTTATGATAGTTATGAATAATGCATTTGTATTTCACTCGCAAATCAGACTTATTTACCGGTGCATAAGTTAACCTCCTGCTTTCTGTAAAATATTGGGGGGTTGAAAAGTCTACTCCGGTATATATGGCGCTAAATATAGAACTGTAGATACAAAATACAATTTGGTAGATTTTGAAACCTAAAATTCATAATTTAAAAATCAAATCAATGTGATTTCCCATAGAAAATCCAAATTTGCAATAAAAAATCTGAGTTACTATTTGAGATTTTGAAGTTGCTTCCTACCCTACTAAAGTGGGGAAAGGTCGATGGATCCAGTTTGAAGTTATTAGATTCATTCTTCAAAATAATCAAACCTGTGCATTTTCATTTCGAGAACTTTATTTTTCGATTCAAGATATCTCCTATTTTAACTATTTGTACCCTATTTTTAGTAAACCAGCTATACAAATTAGGATGAATTTTTCATGAAAATCCAAATCTGCAATAAGAAGAGTTTCTAGTTAAGATTTTGAAACTCAGAGGGCGAGAGTAAAGTGAATTCACTGAAACATCTTTTGAGAATATTTGACACTATTTTTTAAATTTTTGATCTGATGCTTAGTTGAGACATTTTACATCATCCAAATTTTTTGGATACTTTGTATATTATTTTAATATTCTGAAAATGTATTAAAATCAACACACCTTTGAAAGTCCCCCTTTTTGTTCTTTCTGGTAATTTTTTGGGTGTTGGTTCTTCTTTTTTGACGCTCTCTCTTTTACTTTCACGGGGAGTTGTTCGGGTTTTCATGTCTTCACTGTGACGTGATTCATTTGAACCAGATCTTCGTCTGGTAGGCCTACGATTGTTAGGTTCGATTGGAATGGGACTATCTCTGTTATTGGCTCTACCTCTAGTAGGCTGTTCTCTTTTCTTGGTTACCAATTCACTTAATGTTATGTCTTCATCAGTAGAGCAATCAGAGTTTACAGCTCCTATTAATTTCATAAATATATCAGTTATACATTATTGCCAAAACAATTATTAATTGAATGAGTAAATGATGTTTATTAGATATAATAACATTAATTAAAATATACTTCAGATGAAAGCTCTATAATAGAGCAATACAATTATTTGTTTAGTTAAATAATAAATATTTCCTTTTTTTTCTTCAAAATTTAATTCAATAAGTCAGAGAAAAGTTTCGCACATCCAAAAAGTTTAAGAGAAATTGTTTAAAGTAAATGCATTTTCTAAATGATAATTTAATTTAAGAAAACTTGCAAAGTCTATACAAATTAATAGTCATGTTCGATATATCATTGCAGAAAAAAAAAAAAAGATTTTTTCACAAAGGAAAAAAAAAAATACTAACAACTAAGAGATAAAAAAAAGTTATAAGTTTTGAAACGAAATAACTTTATATAACCATAACGAAAAGAAACCTAATAAATGAAACATTTCCCCATACAATGACAATAATAATAAGAAGAAAAAAACACAAACACCTATGGTTTTTAGAGCGAACTGTTACATACCAAGTGCAATTTTCATGGCCTAGAAAGTCCACTTAGATTATTCATATTACACTTCATTCCACTTTAATTTGGCAGCACTGATAAATGCATACAATCTTGATCATGGCTGTTGTCATAGAAACTGCCATGTGTAGTGCGGCTATTCAACAGCATTCATAACCGAAGTTAAAATTGTCAAATAAAATTGTTTCAGCTTTATATGTGTTTGCTTTATTGCTTGCTTTATTTTTAGCCATTGTTTGCTTTTGAAGAAATATGTAAATTAAATACATTTAACACAAAAAAACTCCAAAGAAATGTTTCATTAACAAAATTATTGTATTTTATGACTTTCATTTAGAACTTCATCACATGCATTTAATTATTAAATTTAAAAAAAAAAAACTCAACAAAAACAACCTAGGAGTCTAGAACTGGTTTTCTTGGGAACACTGTCACATTCCTTGACGCTGCCAAGTTAATGTAAAACAAAGTATTTTATTTTTTTCTTACATTTTCTACTCTCCAATAATGGTCAGACATAAGAAAATGGATGGTAAAATTCAGTAGAGTAATCATTCATACGATTCAACACAGAAATTATGCAAGAGAAAAAGGGCAATGTGCCAATGTTGTAAAAATTAATCATGTGTTTGTAAGAGTGTGGAAAAGGATTATTCAAACAAATGAATTATCTAAAAGAACTGTTTACACAAATATAAATTAATAGCATAGAGTGAAAGAAGAGATTTTTAAACTATGCAGGATTCTTTTTTATAAAGAAATGTAGAATGTGTGGAAAGGTTATTATGTATGTTAAAAAACACTCAGGTTATCCAGTTTTAAAAAATTCATTGATAATTTTAAAAAATTGATTTGTAATCATCAATAATGGTAAATTAGTACTGACTAAAACAAGTATCAACAATATTTCTAACTTATGATAAAAGTATTAATTAATATTAAGGTAAAAAAGTTGTTATAGAAAAAAAATAGCGAGGGAACATTGAAAGCTCTTTTCTACTAAGACATTTAACAAACAACTGTTGATAAAGTGCATATCAACATGCACTTTTTTCACAAAGCAAATTCTAGCACAAAAACTTGAACATTAAATAGATAAAAATGCATGCATTCTTTTTTCAGCTAAGTATTGCTAAATCGGTGTAAAAATTAACTCTTAGATACACTTACTTTGGCCAATCCTTAAATTATGTATTTTAATTATTTATTTTTATTGGTCCACTTTAACTAGTCTCATTTAGTATTAATATATATTGGTTAAAAAGAGCAAATAATAAATCATTATAAGGGAATATTTGAAAGCATAAAAAGGCTGAACATCTTGGTTTTGTTTTAAGGTATGAAGTGCTATTAATTTCGTCACTTAAAATTAATCTTTTAATTGGATTATCTCAATATCTTTTATTTATTTTTATACACATTTTGAAGTATTTTTTTCACAAATTTTCATAACGAAGATAAATTGTTGGGAATAAATTTAATGTACTATTTTAGAAAATTCATGCTAAGTCTTCTTAGATTTTTAATAAAACTTAAAAGAAAATCAATTTCTCAAAGAATAAAACTCCTTTTCAGTTGGATTTGTGTGCTAACAACAAAACCTTCCTAACAACAACAAAACCTTCATACATTTAACAAAATACTTTTGAAATTCTAACAAAAACTAACATTTTAAAATTGGCATTGCTGCACAGAGCACAAAATAAAAAATGGAGCACTGGAATTTTTGGTCTATTGATAGGATTTTCACATACTCTCATACCATCTTAACTATGCAAGGTGTTTAATTTCAAAATTCTTATTAAATTTATGCAGAGGTTTATAAACATAATTTATGCAGGAGATTATAAATACGTTACTTGAATAGTTAATTTAATTGTTTTTAATGTAACGACTTTTGCAAATCAAAAAACTTATCTAATATACATAAAACTAAAACTTTGTTAATTCAAAGAAGAAAAATTTTATAATTAATGATTATTTTTTAATACTTAATCCAATAATGACTAGAAAATTCAGAAATAGTATGATACCTAAATTTTTACATTCTTTTACACCATGTAATTTTAAGTAACATCATTCAATATTTAAACAGAATATGACACACTGTTCTTGAGAAATAATAATTTAAAAACACAACTTTCTTGAAATTTTATTGCTCAGAAATTATTGAGTCAATTTCATTCAGATTTTGTCATTTAGAAATACATAGTTTAAAATTATGTAAAAATTTGCATATTTTACAGTTCAAAATTTTTTACCAACCATTAATAACTTTAGTAGAAAATAATCTTAAAGAATGTTATTCTGTATGTAATCAAGTTGTGAATAAACAAGATTTATAATTAGATGATTTTTTTCTTTAATTTTTAGGAATAGTTTTGGATATAAGAGGTTATATATAAAAAAAAGTGACATTAAAATTTAGGAGTCTAAAACTACAACCACTCATTTGACTTAACAATTAGGACTTAATTTTCTAGATTGCATCTACCACCTATATTCTGAGGTCTGGAATTTAAATACCTGGTGAAAAAAGGTATATTTGTTCTCATAAAGATCATTTTTTATGAAATTTTTGTAACTAATGTCATATGTGAGCCACAATGTTTAAAAGCACTGTGCTGTAAAGGGCTGGGGATCAGACGATCAGCTTGAAATCCACCTAGTTTCAGTTTGCATATCACGCCCACCACATTGCTACACTCATGACATTGGTTGTCAAATTGTGGTGCCTATGACTCCTTGGTTCAAAACAAGCTGTTGCAAGAATTTATTACTTCAAAATATCATTTTGCATGAATTAATTAGAATATTTTAGGTCAAACCCTTGAACTATAAAAATTAATACATCAAATTATATCAGAAGTTGTTAAAGTATTTGGTCTTTCTTTTTTCTGTACTATACCTACACTAAAGAAAAATGGCTTTTTTTAATTAAAAAAAAAATAATAAAGAACCAAAAAAATATAATGCACAAATACTTATAACTTTTCTAACAAATGATAAAGAAATTAACCTACCTTTGGCTTTTTTTATGAGAGGAGTGTCTTCTTTACGAACCCTTAAACTCATTCGAACTGTTTCTTCAATTTCCAACTTATCAACCACTTCCTCTGAGGTTTTTGGTTTTAATACTGCTTTTTTAGGGGCATCTTCAACCCCCATGCAAGCTTTTATTAATTCAGCAGCATTTTCAGAGCACTTTCTTTTAAGAGGTTTAGAATAGACTAGAGATATCTCAAGTTCAGAATCTTCAGTGATCACACTTGTACTGTCTGTATCAGTACTATCAACAACAATTACACTTTCATTACCCAGTGGACGGATTTTTTGCATTTCGAAACCACAGTTTACGATCGGAGAGTTTCTATCGTGCACAAAAATTTCATCACTTTTGCGTAAGTCATTTTGTACAGATTTATCATCTGATGACTGTACGATGCTACTGTCGAGTTCTTGTTTCTGATTAGATTCCACACATTCGGTTATAAATAAATCATTTTCAACAGTACTAGCTATTGTCACTTCATTTTCAATAATACAAGAGTTTTCTATATCTAAGCAACAAACATTTTTTTGTAAGGAATTTTGTGTTGACTCGTCAAGTTCAGAGCTAGACTGATTTTTAGAGTCTCCTGAACACACAGGTGGATCAGTTGCAGAATTGCCTTCAGCTGGATCAGAAAGCTCTACAGTATTGGATATGTTAGTTAAACTAGTTGTAATGGCACTATCAGACATTTGTTCACTTTTTACGCAAGCTTCTGAAACAGCTGAGGTAATTAAACTTGGATCACTTTCAACAGTACATAAGGATTCTTCTGATTTGGTGTTTTTGTCTACTTTGTTAGGATGAACAGTCGTTGACTCAATAACTGTACTATTTGCAATTGCGTCAGAAGTAGTGTCAGCAGCTGACTTTTTTGAATTTTCATTATCACATTGTTTTCCGGGATTTGATTTAGTTTCTGACGGCTCAGAATTAATAGGAGAAGGAACTTTAGTAGAAGAATCTGATGGTGGTATCAATTTTTCATCTGCAGCCAGAGGTACAGAAGAAGTTGTGTCAGGAATTTCTTTCTTGTTTAGTGTTGTTGAATCCACAACATCAGTATGCCTTTGCAAGGATTTTGATACTAAAACAATATTTTGTGAATTGCTTGATAATGAATCTTTAGTTGTACTATCAACAATTGAAGAACAAGTTGTTGTAAAAGTACTAGATGGTTTGATTCCACTTTTTGTGCTGGAGGATGAATGTTTAGAACTTTGTACACTGCAAGGTTCGGAGCTGGCCTGACTTAACATGCTACTGCTGGAAATTAATTGTATTGAATTTTCAATATTAGTACCAAGTTTAAATTCATCTGGGAGATTTCTAGACAAGTGGCAGGATACTGATGTTGAAGGAGAAGAAACAATCGGTGTTACAGATGAGGTAGTTACGGCTGGTGAAGAGGTTAACACAGATGTTGTTGTGGAAACAGCACTAGATGACACAAGTTTTAAAGATGGTGAGGCCCCAGCCATAACTACGGATTTCACAACCACTCTGTTTCTCATGTTAGGTGCACCACTCTGACTTGAACAGGATAGTCCAGGAGAAACTTTTGATACAACTAATCTTACGGGAGAAGATGGATGAGGGTTTCCTATAGACTGCGAATTTTGAGAGACTGATGTTTTTGGTCCAATAATTTCTACAATATTTGGATTAGACGTCGATCGAACCGAGAGTGCCGAGGCACCACCAGGTAAAGTCACGAGTTTTATGGGAACAGTTTTAGAAGAATTTAGAGGAACAACTAGGCTCGAAGAATTATTACCTTGTAATGCCGCTCTTTGGCCACCTTTGAAAATAAGTTTAAATTTTTGACTACTTACTTCTTGAGGTAAATATTTCACAGGGGAAAGTAATGAAGTGACTATTGGACTGTTAGAGGTACTAACCACTTGCACTGATTCAGAACAAGTTTCTTTTTTAACATCTAATTTAGCAATAATGGGTTTATTTTCCACAGTGAAAGAAGCCCCAGAGTCATGTAATAAAATAGAAGGTGATGGTTCAGATGTTATGACACTTATATTGACACCAGGCAGACTCTCTTTTGTTGGTAAAGTTCCACTTGCAGAGACACAGTTTTCTTCTATAGAATTACAATTTACCTTTTCCACAGATGAATCTTTATTGCTATTACTTGATGAGGTGTATGGAATTAGAGTTTCAGTTGCCTGCACAGAGCTTGTAACTGGATTATTTTGTTGTATTGAGGCTGAGTAAAGTTTTAAAATATTTTCAGCTAAAGAATGACCTATACAAAAATAAAACAAATAATTAAAATTGGAGAAAAGTTGAAAAAAAATCAATAATTTTTGCAATATGTATGTCATTACTTAATATCACAAGTAAATATCAAAATCCCATCAAGGCAGTATTACATAGAGCTATTGCAGAGCTCTTACAAAATGATGTAATTGCGTGAAATGACAAATATTTTACTTTCTTACTTATAACTTATAGTTTTAAAATGCAGAATATTATTTTCCAATTTCTAAAGTACATAAAATAATTTATGTTAAAGAATATTATTTTACTGCGATTTTTTAAGAAAACTAATCTTCTTTTAACCCAATTGAAAATAAAAAAATTTCTTAAACTTTGTTGTACTGATATGTTGTTCCTCTCATACTATATCACAGCATAAAAAATTACCATGCAAGAACATTTAAACTAAAGCAATGTAAGTCAATGTTACAATGAAAAAAAAAACAAACATAGGCAGTACATAAATTCCCTTTACAAACTCACAAAATGTTACGAAAATTAAGTGGATTTGCTTACATACCCGTAACAAGTCCAGCATTCATTGATCGTGAAATATCGATGCCTAATGATCAATGAGATGGATATAAATAACTGTATCAATTTAACCCCTTCAAAAACTACTTTTAATGTTAAATACAATTTCACAATTTCTTTCATCATATTTTCCTTACATATAAAGGGTTTTCTTTCTTTTTTTTCATTGAAGCACTTGAAATTACAAAAAGAAACAAATTAAGAATAAAAAAAGTTATGAAAATTTATTCAAGAGTATTTAAAAAATCTACAACTCACTAAAAACTTTTAAAACATACTGAAAAGCTAGAAATTTAAAGATTCCAGAACATAATTAGTGTTGGAATAAATAATATTATGTTTCTTTATTTAAGGGTCATATCCAGATAGAATAGAGTGAAATATTTTTAACTGGAAGAATTTTGTAGACTTAATTTTTTTAAAGTCTAAAAGTGTCTTTTAAGTGTGAATCTTATATCTGTCAGATAATTTTGTTAATCACAAAAAAAGATTTAATTATATATTGAAATATAATTATTTATTAATGAAATGTGAATGCATATTGTAAATACTGGATGCTCATAGTTGTTCATTCATACATAAAAATTTAATGAGCAATTCTACAAAACTAAAATTATTTGGAATGCTTATAAAACAGATATTTAAAATTTATTACCTTCTTTTTTCATTTATTTCAAAAGTAATTAAAGATTAAAAATGTGATAATTTTTTCTGCATTTATTCTTTATACATAAAGAATTCATGCACTGAAAAATACAAACAAACTTACCATAAGCTACAAAAAGATATGCATTTAATTTCACGAATACAAACAAAGCATCTTGAAATTTCGTTAACTTTGAAGCATATCATATGTTAATAATTTATAACTGATCGCTTAACACATTATGCTCTACATTTTAGTAAGAATCATTTAACCAACTTCATCATTATTTAATTCACTATACATTTAGAAAATAGAAAAATGACTGAAATGGTTATTCTCATATCCATATTGTTTGTAAATCCCTATAATCAAGCAATATTTTTTATTTTAGCAATATTATATAATCAAGCAATATATAATATAACATTTACTATATCTTGTATTTAGTATATGTCATGTTCTTGTATTTAGTATCTATGCATATAGTAAAACATACTTGAAAAAATTCACTTATCTTCAAGCAAAATTGGGATTATTCACGAAAAAAAAATCAATAAAATCCACTTATTGCAGAACAAAATTGGGTTTTTTCATAAAAAAAACACACATGCACTGGTTTTTTTTTTCTTAAAAACTTCGGTTTTTGCAAACCCTATTTTTTAACTTAACTTTATTTCATCTGAAACGTGTTTTGGATTTCCATCTTTTGAATAAAAACATACTTGTTTTGACATTGTTAGTTTTTCATGTTTCTTTCCTAGAGAAAGAAATTTTAAAAAAATCCTAAAGATTCTTTAAAATTACATGCTAGCCAAAATGGTATGTTTTGAAAACAGGAATATAAGTAAAACTACGAATCCTGTAAACTAACATTGGCAAAACCATGCTGATCATAAAGAATAAGAAGCTTACAAAATAATTGATAATAAACCATTATATTAATATGACATGTTGTGAACTACTATTTTAATTACAGTACAGTGACCCGGGGTAATTCTTGATCAAAAAATGCAAACATCTATTTTGTGAAAAAACTATTCAAGATAGAATTTTAATATTTACTGGAAGTTTGAGGCTATATGAGATGAGTCCTATGCCTCCTTCTTTTGTTTGAAAATCTAATTAGAATTTAAAAGATTTTAAATTTTTAGTGATCAGGAATTACCCCTGGTCTTGATCATTTCTGGGGTAATTCCTGATCACTTCTGGGGTAATTACTGATCACCAGTTTTTATTGTAAAGGGGCTGTTTAAAAATAATTATATAATGGTAATTAACAAATAAGACATCAAGATCAAACAAATAAACCAAAAAGATATGTTTAAGCAGCTAATAAAACTATTTATTTAAAAGCAAGAAGAAAGATTAACACTTTAAATTTTCCAAAAATCTTTGCATCATGCCATACATTTTAGGCAAGCAGCCAACTCATTCTCATGTTCTGCTGAAATATAAGAGAGTTCCCTCATGGGTTACTTTTGCTGGATTTTTTAACTTCATTAA